CCGACCCGGTCATGGCCTTACTGTGATGGACAAAGAAGCAGTGACAAACTGACCAGCTGAATGCCACCCTGCACCCCTAGCTGCCTCCCTGAGCGGGTCAGCGCTGCTCCCTGGGCTCAGCCAGGCCAGTCTCTGGCCTGCCAGCTTTCCATGAGCCGAGGGCGGTTGCCTGGCTGGTAATTGGCCTGGGAAGCCCCAAGGCGGGAGGTGGGGGCGGGGTAGGGAGAAGGGGAGCCCCAGGTGCTGTGGGAAGACGAGCTGTTGGTTACGGGCTGCTTCCTCACCTTCAAGCCTGTGGAGTTGCTCAGGCCTGGGGCAGCGGCTCTGAAAGGAACTCCGGGAAGGAAGGCACAAGTCTGCGGCGAAGCTCCAAGAACCGCGGCTGGAAGGGGAGCCCCTGCTCTCAGCACCCACTCTTCCTCCCCACACAGCACTGGAGCGGGGGCCGCGGGGTCCCCAGGCTGACCCGCTCAGTGGGAGGGACGCCAGCCATCCTCCCAGGATGTCAGGGAGAGGCCTTTTAAGGAGTCCCAGGGAAAGAGGCTCCAAGAGGGTGGACACCGATCAAGACCAAGGAAGCCGGTCGGCGCCGCGGCTCACTAGGCTAATCCTCCACCTGCGGCGCCGGCACCCCGGGTTCTAGTCCCGGTCGGGGTGCCGGATTCTGTCCCGGTTGCCCTCTTCCAGGCCATCAAGTCCTTCCACATAAGCCTCTCCGATCTCGCTGGGCTCGCTCAGCACCCCACCTCCTGCCACTCCACAGCTGTTGTCAGGTTTGAGGAGACATCCACCCTCTCCCTGCTTCCCGTGTCTGGCTCTCACGCTGTCCCTGCTGCCTGGAGTTCCATCCAGGTCCTCCTGCCCCAACATCTACTCATCTGCAGGATTCCGTGTGGTGTTTTCTCCTCCAGGAAGCCCTCCCGGGAAGTTCCAGTGTCCTCTCTGCATTGTATTTATAAACCTGCTTTAATGTCTGTGTCAGAAAGTGAAATTTCAGCAGGAGGCATCTTCTTCAACTGCGGGCCCTGGCCCTGAGGGCTTAGCATGCAGGGGGGGTTCCATAAGTGTCTACTCAGGGAAGAAAGACAGACCGGAGAATGCTAACAGGAAGCCCGGAGCAAAGTGGCGAGGACAAAGGCGCAGCACAAAAGGCTTTCCTCTACACAGAGGGGAATGGCGGCCACAGCGCCCCCCCGGCCAGGTGTGCGCTGGCTTCATAGATCTGGAACCAATGCTTCGAATTCAGTTGTCATCGGCAGAGGGCTGCTGTTAGAGTGATCGAGAACGTCAGGCTAACCCGCATCCGCCTAAGTCTCATTGGAACTGTGAGTTGTTTCTGAGTTACGGACATTTTTATTAACTCTCAAGAATCCCAAGGACACATGAAAAAAGGGCTCAGCTTCACCGGTCATTAGGGAAATGCAAATTAGGTCCACAGCTAGATACGATCACGTGTCTATTAGAATGGCAAAAAAAAAAAAAAAAAAAAAATCAACATCAACAGAAAATACCAAGTGCTGCCAAGGACGCAGAACACCTGAGACTGGTGTTCTGTGCTGGTGGGCGTGCAAACTCTGGAAAACACGTTGACCAGCTGACCCGGCAGTCCCACTTCCGGTATTGTAACTGATTGTCTGAAAATTGTTACAACTTGTAACTGAATATCGATAGAAGCGCTACTCAAAGTTGCCAAAAATTGGAGACATCTCAAATGCCCACCATCAGGACAACAGATCAACAGCAGCTCTGAGAAGGAAGAATCCCCAGGACCGGGCAGTCCCCGGGGCCGACAGCCTGGCCCCCCTCCTACCCTCTTGTCTGTGGCGGATAGCGTGTGCCTGCCTTTAGCTATTAAGCCTCAGCAGCCAGCCCACTCGCCCTTCCTGAGGGGCCCGCATCAAGTTCCAAGTCTGCTCACAGTCCAGGGGACGCCACCGCACCAAGCCAGCCCCTCACCGGGTCTGACCTCAGTACCACCTCCACGGTGGCAGCTGGTTTCCACTTTCTATGTAACAGTTATTCAATAAAAATATATTTACGGAGCAGGTATTACCCCTTTCATTTAGTGGCTCCCAAATATTTTTTTTTTTTTTGACAGGCAGAGTGGATAGTGAGAGAGAGACACAGAGAGAAAGGTCTTCCTTTTCCATTGGTTCACCCTCCAATGGCCGCCACGGCTGGCGTGCTGCGGCTGGCACACCGCGCTGATCTGAAGGCAGGAGCCAGGTGCTTATCCTGGTCTCCCATGGGGTGCAGGGCCCAAGCACTTGGGCCATCCTCCACTGTGCTCCCTGGCCACAGCAGAGAGCTGGCCTGGAAGAGGGGCAACCGGGACAAAATCCGGCGCCCCGACCGGGACTAGAACCCGGTGTGCCGGCGCCGCTAGGTGGAGGATTAGCCTAGTGAGCCGCAGCACCAGCCCAAATCTTCTCTTAAATACTCACCGTAGGCCCCTTCTGCAACAGTGCCCTGGGAAGTCTGGCCCTGACCTTGCCATCTCTGTCCTGTTGTCTCAGGGGAGAACCCCCCCCTCCCCGACCACATCTGGTCACAGACCCTCCCCAGCCAGGGCCCCAGAGGAAGCTTCAAGAGAAAGAATGGGAACAGCTGGCACCCTCAAGCCCGACAGAAAGGGCACTGGGATGCGACACAAGGACCGACACGCTGTGTCCGCCGCGTCCTCGGGCTCAGGGGAAGCCCCGTGCCTGGGCTGCACCGTGTCTGTTAGCAGGCACTCTGCTTCCGTCTCACTTGCTCAAGACGTGCGTGTGCTCTCCTCGCCTCACCTGGGATCCTACGGTTGTAGATCTAGGACACGCCCCGGCTGGTCATTTGGGGTCTCACCGGTACCTCCGGATGGGGATCCCCTGCGACGGTTTCCTCCTTGCCTGGTGGAAACCGAAGGCTCCACGTCCAAACAGTGCCACCTTCTTCCGCCCTTCACCTCTGGCCAGGCGCCCTCCTCCGTGGGGGTCACCATGCCCGTTACACAGGCGGCCACAACCCAAGGTCCAAACAACACCCAGGGCGGCAGGCAGCGTCGCTGTCTCTGACTTCACCAGCAGCCTGGGTCCGATGCCCTGCCTGGCCTCTGCCCTCCCTGGAGCAGGATCCGTCTTCTCATCCTGCCCAGGCGCGGTGCGCGCAGGGGATGAGCGCCCAATCGAGGCCAGAACACTGCCCTGCTCTCAAGTCCTACGAACGTAGGGAGCTTTCACTCCGCCAAGCAAGCTCAGAGTCGCAAAGGGACGGCTCCAGAGCCGCACCTGCTGGCCACGCAGCGGACCCATTTTTCAATTGGTTGCCAACTTTTTTTAATTGGGACACTGCCTGTGGAAGTGAGAGCTCCCGCCGCTCGTGGAACGCCAGCTCGGGCGCGCTGAGCAGCCCTGCCCACGGGGGCCGTGGGAAGTAGGAGACTGGGTAGCAGGTGCTGCCTTTGGATGGCGCAGGCGCCCTCCGAGACGGTCTCCTCCCCCTTCCTCTGAAGCAGCACCCTGGCAGCAGGGACTCTGTTTTAGAGCATCAGAGACTCCATCTCGAGACAGCACCCCCCACCCCCACCCCCATCCCCATGAGATTCTGGTCTGGAACTGTGATCTCAAACTCAGACCGTAACAGTACTCAGACCATGACGGTCCACGGCTTCCCACCTGGCAGAGCGTGGAAACAGCATCATTGCTCCAGCTCAAAACAGGCTGCACCTGGGTGACCGCTAGGATTGTAATGTGTCTGTTGTCAAGATTGTGATGGACAGTGGCTTCCCTAGCCCGCAGGTCAGCCTGACCCTGCAACCCGTATTCCCGCTCCCTCCTTGCGGTTTTCGCCCTTAGAAACCCTGTGGCTCTGAGCTCCGGGTGCAGAGTTCTCCAGGGCCGGAGCCCGCTCTCCGCGCCGGCAGTGAAAGGCCCTGACATTTTATCGGCGTGTGGTGCTCCTCGGTCCGCACGCGCGCAGGCACGCCACTTCCCCCTCATCCCCTCAATTTTCTTCTCCAGTCTTGCTTTTTAGAGCCTTGGGCGTACGACTCCCCAGCAGGTGCCTGGTCGCCCTGGCTATGGAAAGACGAACCAGTGTGCCTCCCCGGAGTCTACCAGAAGGGCAGGGGGCTCCTCTAGTGGAGATGGGGCAGACACTCCGCGCAGGGGGGCTCGCGTGAGCTGTGGTGACGGCGACCAGGGAGTACTCCAGGGGCAAGATGAGTGGCCACAGGGCTTCTCCCGAGTGGACACGCCCATTAACACCAGCCCGGCACATTCGGCTCTCCCAGGCAGATGCGGCTGAGCTGCTTAATAATTCATAACGCAGAGTTTATTCAGCAGGAAGGGGACGGGGAAGGGCTTGGGCCTTAGCGCTGAGGCGAACCCTTGAGTCCTTGTGCCTCTACACGTCGCTCCCTTGGCCCCACCCCCTTAAAAAGTGGCCATTAGGGGGCAGCACAGGGCAGCAGCAGCCCGCATGGGCACTGGTTCCTGTCCTGGCCGCTCCACTTCCCACCCAGCTCCCTGCTAATTAACGGCCTGGGAAAGCAGCGGCAGGTGGCCCAGGTGGCCGGGCCCTGCTACCCCCGTGGGAGACCCGGATGAAGCGCCAGGCTCCTGGCTTCCTGCGAAGCGAACCAGCGGAAGGAAGATCTTTGTCTCCCTCCCTCCCTCTCTCTCTAACTCTTCCAAGTAAATAAATTAATCTTAAAAACATGTTTTATACCTGCCTCGGCGCACAGCAGGGAGAACTAAAGAGAGCATGCGCAGACAGCGCCCTGCACAACGCCTGGCACTCGTCAGGGGCCCCGCACACGCAGCAGGCGCGAGACAAACAATAGGAGGTTAAGCAGAGAGGGGCTGAGGCGCCCCAGCGTCAGGGCTCGGCCAGGCGCGGCCGCCGCCAGCGCTCCCACCTCGCGCGCCCTCGACGGAGCGAGCAGGGGGAACCTACTAATGCGCACGCGCAGACCGCGGTCCGTGTCGCTGCGCGTGCGCAGAAGGCCCGGCCGGCACGTGACGGGAGCCGGCGGCTCACCGGCGCGGGCGTCGTTGGAGCTTGGCGCCCTCCTTCTCCGCGAGCATCGCTGATCTTCTGAGGCGCCAAAGACCCTTATTCCGGCACCGGGACGGAGCGTAGCCGCGCCTGGGCGGTCCCTGGGCCTGAGGTAAAGGCGCTCGGCGGCCCGGCTTCGCGTTTCCTCGCGTCCTGAGGGCAGGTTCTGGCGCCAGGCCCGCCACTCGGTGGCTGCAGTGTCCCCCACCCCGCCCCCCGAGGTCACCTCCTGAGGCCTGGGCCCCCCGGGGCCGCCAGGACACCCACGATTCAGGCTGTCCCGCGGTAGGGCCTCGAGGGGAGGCCGCGGCCGGAGCGGCGGGCGGCGCGGGGCGGGGGAGATGGCGGCCGGGGGCCCGAACGGGGCAGCGCGCCCGCCGGAGCCACCGCACAGGATCGGGCCCGCGTCAGGTGGCCGGCCCCGGCCGGAAGCGGAGACTTCTCAAAAGTGCGCCTGCCGGCCGCGACCACCCGCCCCCTAGCCCGGGGTGGATCGCGGCGAACGAACGAGGCTGCCGGGTTCGGCGCTGTGACGTGGTCGGTAAAACCGCCGCCTGCGGCCCGGGGGCACCGGAGGAGTCCGGGCTGATCCAGCTCTGCTGCGGCCTGGGAGAGCAGTGGAAGGTGGCCCACGTCCTCGGGTCCCGCACAGGAAGAAGCTCCTGGCTCCTGGCTTCGGATCGGCGCGGCTCCGGCCGTTGTGGCCACTGGGGAGTGAACCAGCGGATGGAAGACCTCTCACTCTCTCTCTGTAACTGCCTTTCAAATAAGTTAAATCAATAAATCAATGAATCGCTTGAACCCTTTCCCATCACATCTGGTCACGTAATGATTCCAATACCCCCCCCCCCCCCCCACACACACACACTTTTCTCAATTCTCAACAAAACCACCACGGTATACACTTCTGCCTAGAATCTCCTCCCGGTTGCCCCTGCCCACGAGGGCAGGAAGCCCCTTTCAGGAAGAAGCTCTGCATCTCTATAGTTAGTTGCTGCAGCTGCTGGGAGTCATCCCCACTTGTTTCCTCTCCCTCACAGCATCAAGTGAGCAAATCAGAAGAGGCGACTTCAAATCCACCCCCTTCTCTTCATCTCCATGGTTATTGCTGTAGACAAGCCTACCAACAACTTCTTCCTAGAGCCACAGGCGTCTCCTAGCTGGTCCCCCTTCATCTGCCTCTTGTTCCAGATTTTTTTCCACGTTATGACTAGATGATTTTGTTATACGTAGCCATCTCCCTGTGGTATTTTTAAAAAGATTTATTTATTTGCTTGAAAGAGTTATAGAGACAGACACATCCTCTATCCACTGGTTCACTCCACAGATGGCTACAACAGCTGAGGCTGGGCCGGGCTGAAGCCAGGAGCTTCTTCCAGGTCTCCATGTGGATAGCAGGGGCCCAGGCACTTGGGCCATCAGCAGGGGGCTCTATGGGAAGTGGAGCAGCCATGACTGAACAGGTGCCCATACTGGATGGAAGCATTGCAGGCAGCAGGTTTACCTGCCACGCCACTACACCACTGCATGCCCATGGCCTTTTTACTCCATTCAGTGCCTTCCACTTGCTCTTAGGCTAGAGGCCATAGTCCATACCTGGCCCATAGGGTGGCCTTCGTCCCTCCTGACCTTCTCGTGCTAGATGACCTCATCCAGTGGTTTCAAACACTATCTACATACTGACGACTCAGACTGCCATTTCTGTCCTGATCTCCACCCCTTACTCACCAGCAGACTGCCTCCTTGGCGTATCCACTAGAATGTCTGATAGGCCTCTCAGATTTAACCTGAAAATTAGCTGTTCATCCCCGTCCCCAGATCTCTTTCCCTGTCTTGGTAAAATGGCGTGTACTTTCATCCACCTAACTGCAAAGGCCAAACACCAGGAGCCTTCCTTGATTCCCACATCCAGCCCATCAGTCTGAAATATACCTCAGACCCCACTGTTCACTGTTAACGCCCAAGTCCAAATCAACAGCGTCTCTCCTGGACCACGACAGGCGGCGTCCTAACGGCTCCCTGCTTCTGCTCTTGTGACCTGGCACTTATCTTCCTCCAGGCAATGGAGACTTCGTGTTGATGGGGGTAAATCATTTCTCTCCCTCTGTAAAGTCCTGGCGTTTTCACAGCGGGCTACAAGGTTTACATGGTCTGGCCCCGCCTCACACCCTGACTTCTTCTCCACTGTAGTCACACTGACTTTCTGTCCTTTAAATCGCCTGTCACGTGGCATCTGCACTTTCTGGCTTTTCTCTGCTTTTTCAAAACCTTGATCTTTATGTGGTTCTTTTCACTAGGGTTCCAACTCAGTGTAATCTCTTCTGAAAGGCCTTCACTGATCGCACTAGCTAAAGCAGCCTCCTGGTCATTCTCCTTTATAATAAAACCCTGGTTTCTCCACGTGACTTAGGGACCTCAGATTACATGTAAGGGGCTGGCATTTAGTCTAGTTAAGATGCTCCCGTCCCGCAGAGTATCTGGGTTTAATTCCAGGGTCTGACTCCTGACTCCAGCTTCCTGCTAAAGCAGACCCTGTGAGCAAGTGATGACTGAAGTGGTTGGTTCCTGTTATCCATGCGGCAGACTTGGATTGAGTTCCTCACTCCCAGCTTCAACCCAGGAACTGTCGTGAGCAGTTGGGGAGTGAACCAGTGGATGAAATTCTCTCTCTCTCTCTCTCTCTCTCTCAGTTTTTATTTTTATTTTTTTTATTTTTTATTTTTTGACAGGCAGAGTGGACAGTGAGAGAGAGAGACAGAGAGAAAGGTCTTCCTTTGCCGTTGGTTCACCCTCCAATGGCCGCCGTGGCCGGCGCGCTGCGGCCGGCGCACCGCGCTGATCCGATGGCAGGCGCCAGGAGCCAGGTGCTTCTCCTGGTCTCCCATGGGGTGCAGGGCCCAAGCACCTGGGCCATCCTCCACTGCACTCCCTGGCCACAGCAGAGGGCTGGCCTGGAAGAAGGGCAACCGGGACAGAATCTGGCGCCCCGACCGGGACTAGAACCCTGTATGCCGGTGCCGCTAGGCGGAGGATTAGCCTAGTGAGCCGCGGCGCCGGCCTAGTTTTTATTTTTTTTAAGATCTACTTCTTTAGGAGCCGGCGCTGTGGCATAGTGGGTAAAGCCGCCGCCTGCAGTGCCGGCATCTCATATTGGCACTGGTTCGAGTCCCGGCTGCTCCACTTCCAATCCAGCTCTCTGCTGTGGCCTGGGAAAGCAGTAGAAAGTGGCCCAAGTTCTTGGGCCCCTGCACCCATGTGGGAAACCCGGAAGAAGCTCCTGGCTCCTGGCTTTAGATTGCGCAGCTCTGGCTGTTGCGGCCAACTGAACCAGCAGATGGAAGACCTCTCTCTCTCTCTGCCTCTTCTTCTCTCTCTGTGTAACTCTGACTTTCAAGTAAATAAATAACTCTTTTAAAAATATTTACTTATTTGTTTTTATTTGAAAGGCAGAGTGACAGAGAAAGAGAGACAGAGAAATCTTCCATCTTTTGTTTCACTCCCTAAATGCCCAAAACAGCCAGGGCTGGCCAAGCCAGAGCCAGGAACTACATCCAGGTTTCCCACGTGGGTGGCAGGGGCTCAAGTACTGAGACATCACTACTGTCTCCTAGGTGCGTTAGCAGGAAACTGGGTTGGAAGACAGGTATGACTCAATCCTAGGCGCTCCCAGTATGGGGGGTGGTGTCCCAAGTGGCTTATTGTTGCTCGCCACACCTCCTTTAACGTAAGCCCTAAACACAGGAAATCATATTCTCTTCCTATATCATTGCCCAGTGCCGGGCCTGAAGCATTATAGACTCTCATATGTGTGCTAACTCTGCTTAGCTGTACAGTCTCGCTAGCACTGTCTTGCCCGCCATGCGTTCCAGCCTCCTATACTGTCTGCTGAAAGTGCCGTACTTTTCTCCTGGCTGAGGACCCGTGCACCTGCTGCTTGCTGCGCCATCTCACACCCTACACTCACTCTCCATTTGTGCCTCTAGCTCGTCCCTAGTCCTTCAGAAATGAGTCGCTTAGGTTTCTCTGTAACATGTTTCCATATCACCCCACCTTTCTTTCATGGCAATTGTCATTCTAAAAACTATTTGTAAGCTCTGTGAAGGCAAGGATCAAGTTGTTATTTTTCCTGGCATTATCTCCAGCAGTTAATTGCTGGCGCCGAGTGGGAAGGCAAGTATTTGTAAACTGAAGGAGCAAATGTTGAATGAACACAAGATTGAAAAGATTAAATCGGGTTAAAAATTGAGAGAGCAGTTAGCACAGAGAGTGAGTTAACTGAATCTTCCCCACCTTCTTGAAGAAGTAGAAGTCTTGGGTCATGTAAGGTAGCAGACTTGAAAACATTAAGTAAACCAAAAGTGCTTTATAAATACAGATACTTTTAAATAGGCCTCTTCATCAAATCCCTGTGGTCTGATGGTCTTTCTGAACACAAAACTTTGTTTTTTAGCAATAATTGTATCTGATTCTGTTATTTTAGAGCAATGCTCAGGTGTTAAACTGTGAAGAATTTAGGTGAATACTGAATCTAGGTCAGTTTGTAAAGTAACCACCTTTTTGAAACTTCATTCAGCTGAACTTCCTTGCTCTAGGGATACATCTGAGTTTTAGTGTTGCCTTTGATGTGTGACCTTGGCCAAATCACATTATCTCCTATAGCAGGTAGATCTTTTTATAAACCTAGTGAGTACAATTTTTATCTCCCCAATATGTCACCAAAGTTGGATTAAATTAGAAAAATATTTCAGATTTCCTGAGTGAAATTTGTTCTGTTTATATTAGAAGTCATTTTATTAATTTCTTTAGAAGCCGCCATTGTTTCATGCCAGGAAAAAGCTGTGTATTTGTTTTTTTTTTAAAGATGCAATTATTGGTTTGAAAGGTGGAGTTACAGAAAGGCAGCGGCTGCAATGGCTGGAGCTGCGCCTATCCAAAGCAAGGAGCCAGGAGCTTCTTCTGGGTCTCCTGCTCAGATGCAGGGGCCCAAGGACTTCTGCCATCTTCTACTGCTTTCCCAGGCCACAGCAGAGAGCTGGATTGGAAGCGGAGCAGCCAGGACTTGAACCGATGCCTATATGGGATGCTGGCACTGCAGGCGGCAGCTTTACCCAC